TTTTCAGTGTTCTACTTTGTTGGCAAAGACATGGATGCAAAACAAAGTTTGGATCACGCAAATCCGCATTGGTGCCAAGTGGAAGGATATCCTATCTATACTTACGATAACTTCCCGGAAACATTCATCACTCTTTTCCGAGCAAGTATGGGTGGTTACGATGTAAGTTCGGTGCTCTCTCAAGTGACAATCTGTATCACTCACCAGGATATTACCCAACTTTTCCCTGTAACCAAAAGAATTTCTGCTATTTTGAATTTTTTGGCCACCATTTTGCAGATTAACCTTACCCTATTTTTACTGTTCTAGTACGAAGAATTCGCATGTGCCAACTACGAAGTGCTGACGAAGACCCTTTTCGTATTGTATATGTTTGTGATGCCAATCATGATGATCAACATCCTTATTGCCATGATGGGTAACACCTACACCACTGTCATCGCTCAAGCGGAAAAAGCATGGAGACAACAGGTTGGTGCTAATTGTCTGGTAAAATTGATAGTTAAAAATATAAGCAGGTGGTATAGTTAAATTCCCTTGATCATATTTTACGCCCTACATCGCCCTCGCTTTGGATGGTGCAAGAATAGCGTGTGCTTTTCTAGTTTTTTGCTGCTATTTTTTCCTATCAAACCTTTTCCAAAATAGTATCGCATATCACACAAAATCTCTTTTCAAGTACTTCCCAGTAATGGCTCGAACAAGCATATAGTTTCATCTCTTAATAATACATTATTCTGAATGGCAAATTTTGCACTTAATAAAATAGAAAGTTGAATGTCACGGTCAAACAGAACAAGTTTCTGTATGTTTTGTTGTGACATTTATGGACGAATGTTTCAAACAAATTCTCAAATCTCCAAAAATGAGCGAACCTTTGGCATAGTCTACTCAGTATGATATCTTGTAGTTCCATTATCAAATTGAGAACGCCTGACACCGGATGTGTTCGTTACTAGGTTACAGGTACTTCATTGTTTCCATGTTTACTACCCTGAAATCATAGAGGTAAGATTTTTTGACAAAGTTAAGGCCCTATAGATAAGTCCTT